GCACGCTCATTCTTTTAAAGTTTGGAAAAAATAAAAGAATAAAAAAAATAAAAAAGTAACTCTGCCTGAGTATCTTTTAAGGTTACTTTGCCGGTCCCAAGCCCGGATAAAAGAGGAGGGTTGAATGGAGAGCGAGAAATTTCACAACACAAAACCAAGAAATACGTAAATGGCTTATGGCAAATTTCCAACAAAACTGAAACATTGATTGTGCACCCAATGAAAAAACCCAGGAATTTGAAATTTCACACTGCAGCCTAGATAATAAATACTAATTGATCACATTGGAGAAATTTTCCTCATTTAACCCATCCCCTTGGGGATCAGTGGGCTGCCATCGTGCGACACCCAGGGAGCAGTGTGGAGTTAAGGGTCGATATTCAGGAACCCAGAGTGGAGGCTGCGACTGAAAGTATGCTGCAGTAGTTAAAGGTCGAAGATGATAAAGTTTTAGCTGAATTTTGCTGAAATCTAAGAATTCTACATGCATTTCAATGGGACAAAAAAAAAAGCAGAAAAAGCTGAATATCGCGAAAACTAAAAAAAATATCTTTACCAAAAGACATAGCACAATTCTCCTGAACAAGCTGAACGTTTTGATACCAAAATTGTTGAAATCGGTTGAAAACTGTGGGACTAGTTAGAGTCAGAAAAATTTAAAGTGAAAAACAATAAGTGGGAATGCATAAGCATTCCCACTTGATGATTAATGTGGTACATTTTTGTGAGACATGAAGAGGGGTACTTGCTAAGTATGATGTGGGATCGCCAGCCGGTCACTGACCCACTACCGAAACCCAAAGAAAAAGCGAAAAAATTTTTTGAAAGCGGTGTTTGGCACTTTTAGTACCTGTAATTACCAATGTAAAGCTATTATGCGAAATCCTAATCTTGAATTGCATTTCTACTCCATAGGCTTTGGTCTTGGTCTTTAATCCTCCTCTCATCTGTTTCTGTTTTTCACGGTCCTTTTCCCAGAACTCCCACTGACTTGGACTCCCCTCCATTTGTTGCTTGTTTATTTCTCCAGCTCTCCCCTCTATCTTCGCTTTTCAGATCATCCTTGTTCAGAGCTATTTCTTTAACTCAGTTTTTTTCTTAGACTGGAAGTTAAATACTTCAAGTTTTATTTATATGTAGTTCTATATGTCTGTCAGTCCATCCATCAGTCTGTCTTTATATAGGTGTAGATATACATATATATATATATATATATATATGTGTGTGTGTATGTGTGTGTCTGTATATAGTGTAAATACTTATAAGTGTAATTAATGGCTAGTTGGAGCTTCTCAATGCTAACAGGTTAAATCATTCACAAGCATTCATTTGTCCTGTTTTTTAGCCTTTTATTCAAACTGTATTCATATGTGTGTTTACCATACTCATATTACATCATATTTTTTGTGTCTTTTTTTTGTTTTTCCATCTGTCTACCTTCATTTGTCCGGAAAGCAGTAAGCAGCATGGTGTGACAAAGGAATACAACAGGTATGCGTGTCAGGAGATGTGTCACAATTCAAACCTGGGCCTCAATCGCTGTTTTCCTTTTTAAAATTCTTTTCATTTCACATTGTTTTTCAACGCCTGTGTTTTATAAGACACTACCAAAAAGAAAAAAGAAAAAAGGAGCTCAGAAAATTGGTGTGATCATCTTGCTCATTTTTATCTAGATCATCACTGGTTGATCCATTGTGGCAGGCCATATAGCATGTAATGGCTGATGTGCCCTCTGGAAAGAGATAACCTCACAACCGGCCCAGTTTTGTTTGTACCATCTGCCATCTATCCATCATTTTCCTAGTGGTATACTGCTCAGTCTGTTTCTCTCTCTAATCAAGACAGCTGAACATTTGATTTACCTTCGTTATGGTAAATTTGACCCCACGGGTGTAATCCAGAGCATTCTATTTCTGTGTCGTTCTCAGCGCTCTCAAGTGGCTTTCTTATTCCTGCCAAATCTCCTCTCCTCTCATCCTTTCACTCTTAAAGATGGAAATCAAAATCCATCTGTATGTTCTGACAGAATCTGCAAAGACAGATAAAGGGGAGACTTGATTGACAGTAGCGGGACAGCTACTTCAGATGGCTGGAACCTTATTTCAGAGTTGATTAACTGAAGCAGTGGATTTCTAACTGTTCCAGAATAACACATGAAAAGTTATAACTTCTGATGATAATTCCTTATCTAATATCCTATGCTTCACAATGATGGATGCAAATTGAAAAAACAGCTTTTTTATTGGCTTAAGAGATTTAAATGAACATTTATTTCTACAAATTTCATTGTTGGACTCTCAAAATATCACGTGATTGATATTTTGATAATCATATTATGGTGTGCTGAAGGTTGGTGGTGTTCATCATTTCTTGCTCATTTCAAATCAGCTCTTATTACTCCAGTACAGCATGGTTTTCTTGAGATTTATATAAACAAATTAATTTGACTCAGCAGTCATTTGCATGCCTTAAGTAACCTGTCTAGAAATATTTCATGCTGCAGGAAACCTCAGGTTGACTGTTTTGATTGATAGCAGGTGATTTCCATAGCATTACCATGTCGTTGGCACATTTAGGCTTTGGGACTTAACAAAGGTGAAATTTGTCACTAGATTCAAACTGTTTAAAGAGCACCTAACATGATCTGCAGAAATGGTTATGAGGCAGACTACTCATCAAGCATTCCTATTAGAGTCAGTGTCTACCTTTCATAATCAATTATTTAGATCCATGAAGTAGCAATAAAAGTAGTAAAGTGGGCAACAGGGTAATTCAATTTCATTGATACCACACATAAATTATTTTTACCACTCAGGGTGGGGTTTATCTTATACATAAAATAAAAAGAAAATACAAATAAAAAACAAAAAATATGAAATCGAAAATTTATAGAAATAAATTATAAATATAATATAATAGAATAATAAAATATAATAGAACATATATCCAGAACTCCTCAAATGGAAAAGTTAGTTTCACCTGGTTTAATTTCTTAAGAAGTCTTTGTTAAAGAACCTTTGCCATCCAATTATTAATTGTTTAATAGAAAAAATAATTGACAGATTAATGGATTTGCAAAAATAATTTTTCGTTGCAGCCCTAAAACAGACACAGAAATAGGAAAAATCGGTTCAGAGCAAATAAAAGGTTTAGTAACTTTTTCACTTCCTTACCAGTGATCGGCTGTTTGGAAGCTCAAAGCCAAAACCAGTTGCCATTATTAATAAAAACAGAATTGTAAAGATTACATTTAGGTCTGAAATGGTGCTATAATATATTTGAATAGAATAGAATGGAATAGAAAATTCCCGTTATGGTCCCTTAATGGGGAAATTCTGGTGTTTAAAGTAGGCAAATGATTAAAGAAAAAATTGTCACACAAATGTGGACCTTAGAAAAATGTATAAGAATAACATAAAAGTGAAGAGTTAAAAGATAAACAATAAAGTACTTCACTGTGAAGTCTTTTAACAATATAAAACTGTGCACCTGGAGAGAAAATAACCAATATACAGCTATGGACATTTTTACAGTAATGGATATTTAAAAATAGCAGCAACATCAGAGATGTGCAAAATGACAGCAGCATGTTATTTAACTGACTAAGGTAGAAACTGCAAAAAAACAGCATGAATGTAACAACTTATTGAGGTTGTTGGGAACAGTGATGGTTATAGAGTCTTCCAGCTGCTGGGAGGAAGGATCTGCGATAACGCTCCCTTCTGCATTTAGGGTGCAGCAGTCTGTCACTAAAAGAGCTCTCCAGTTCTGCAAAAGCTTCATGCATGGGATGGAAAACATTAACCAACACACGTTAATTTAGTTATGGTGTTTTTGTTTCGAACCCCCTAGACTGAGTCTAGAGGGCATCCAATCACAGAGCTGGGCTTCCTGATCAGCATATCTAGCCACTTTCTCTCAGATACAGATAAGCCGCTGCTCCAACAGGCAGCTCCATAGAACATGGCTGATGCCACAACAGAGTCATGGAGGGTCTTGAGGAGCGCCCCCTCCACATCAAAAGAACTCAGTCTCCTCAGCAGGAAGAGTCTGCTCTGACTTTTCTTATACAGAGTTTGTTATTCACCTGAACACCTAGGTACTTATATAAGTCCATCCAGTCCATCTCAATGTGCGTTTTCTGGATGTTCCCTTCTGCACATAAGTAAGAATAAATTACTTTAGCTGACAAGCTTTAGTAAATCTTAAGGTTAAGGACCTTTATTTTCTACCCAATACATACAGATATATAATATTTTATCATATAAATATAAACATTCTAGCTTTTCCTGATTTAAAGACAATGCCTTCCACATACATATATTATTTCTTTAAAGCATTTGCTGAATCAAAATGCTATTCCAATTTCTTCTTGTAGAGAAATGTATATGTGTTAATGGGTCAAAACAAAGATCAGAAAACTACCCTGAATTTATATTCGTCTTTTGTAACAAAAAAATACACCTATCATCTCTTTCAATGTTTGCATCAAGGATAGATTGTAAGGATAGCGATAAAAAGTTAAAACATGAAGAAGGAGCTTGCTCAACCTTCAGATGTTTTTTTATTTGTTTATGTAGAATAACAATCTTTAAATTTAAATTTCTATTAGACCTTCCAGCATGTGTTCTACATTGAAGCCACCATCCTTAGGGGCAGTAACCTGTAGCTAAGATTCTTACTCAGGAATGGCAGAATTGCAGTATGTAGGTTTGAACTGGCTAAATGCGTGCAAAGAATGCAAATTCATGTGGGTCAGAAGTGAAGGTTTAACTATTTTAGTTTTTAGTCTGGCATTTAGTAAAAGCTTCAAGCATACTCATTTTGATTATTATTGTGGTAAAGAAATCCACCATCTATCTGTTATGTAATAAAAGGTATAAATGTCTATTTTAGATATTTTTAAGGGACTCAGGTTTTGCAATTCATAGTTACTTTTAACAGTAATAATATGTTTATTCAAATGTAGATCAGAGTTTTAAATGCCTCAGAGGTTTTTACTTTTGGCCCTGACATATGAACCAGTATGCTGGTTCATAACATTACTAGTGGACTTGAAAATAAATAACCTTGGTTTTGCTACAATTTAAAATGATGCCCCGTCTTTTATGTTAATCTATTTTTAAAGAAAAAATTTCTTTCAAACACCAGCCTTGCTTACTGTTGATCTTACTGTTCGTTCTCCAGAATTATCAGACCTCTGCAGCGTTCCACTATCAGCCGAGACACATAACCGTGTTCTCATTCGTTTAGCCTAAATTAGACAAAATTGTCTGAGTGTGTCTGATTTTGATTTCGAAAATGAACGGCTAGAGCAGGGCTGGACAAATGATCAAATCAAGAGTGAGGAGGGAGGACTTGGAATAATTGGTTTAGAGCAGCATGAAAAAAAAAAGATAGAAATCAGAAGAAGGCCAAGTAACTCAGTTTTGTCTCTATAGAGAAGTTAGCATTTTATCTGCCCTTCACTGGTGATGTGACGTGTTGTTTTTCATCGCTGATGATTACGAAACAGATGTGTTGAATCAATATGACAAGCATGAAAAAAAGATCAATGTGTCGAAAAAATCCTTTTTGAAAAGCAGCAAAAGCTGTTAAAAAATATGATTTTATCCTGCAGAAATATAACGGCTCGCTTTAAGATACCAACTGATGGCACACAATATCAGCAGAGAGTTGCTTTTCAAGCCTTTGTTTCTTCAACTCACATTTTCACCCAGTCCTCTTTAGTTCACTGCTTGATTGATCCGCTCTGTCCTTTCGCCTCAAGATACTTCATTTTCTGCACTGGTTTGAGAATAAAAATGTGATTGATCGTTGTAGCAGCAGACAGCTCAAAGCGCCTTAAGCTTAATATCGAAAGTGTGAATTTGTGCCATCATGCTGATGAATCTGTGTGTGCATGTGTTATCAAGCGTCTCTGTGTTTGCCTGCGTGAAGACGGTGACCATATTTGCAGAGAGTCTGTGCTGGTGTGAGAGTTGCAGAACAGCTGGTATGTCTCAGCATGTTGGGGCTCTCATGAGGAAAAGATGCAAGATTATCCTGAAACACAGCAGGAAGCTACTTAAACTCTCCTTGAAACTAACCAAGCACTTCCTTTAGCTACAGTGCGAAAGAATGCCTTGTTGGCTGTGTGGGACTTTCTGTGCCAGTAAGGTGTCTGTTTGTCTGCTTAATCAACTTTGTAAATAGTTTATTTTACTGGATGGATCCACTTTGTCTTCAGATATACAGTACGTTTAATTTCTCTAGAAAGATTCAGCTATTAGTCCAGAGGTTTTGGCACTACTGCAAGATGTAGTTACTGCAGATTTGTTAACTACACATGCAGGAGGATTCTCTATGCACAAATATGAGCCATTTCTCAATTCACAAGAACACTCGTGTAGAGACTCGTGTTCTCACCAAGTTTGTTCTTGATAAGAACACAGAAAGTATGGACTTGGGGAGAACGGGTGGACCAAGAATAAACATGGATCCATTTGAAT